GAATGTGCATCATGGAGAGACGGACGTGGGGCTTGCTGGCTTCCTCTGGTCTTAACCCACCACGAAATCGCCTTAAGCCTGCACCTACCAAGTGGTCCATAAACAGTAATTGAATGCATGATTAATTGAGTTAATCAATTCAATCTAATTCATTAATGGAATAAATGGAAGTTCCCCTCACTTCCTTCTCTGCCTCAGTTTTCTCTCTCCCCTACTTCTCATTTCTCAAGATGAAAGGAAAATCTGATGGAGAAGACCAGCCCTCTGGAAAATGATTAAAGTAATTTGTCTTCAGTTTCTCCTGCTGCTCTCTCTGACTTTAAGGCTCCCCCTCCTTCAGTCCTGCACTCTGTAGAGTGGCTCGGGAACCAACTATCTGTACTTGAATCCTGCATCTACCACTTTCTAGCAGTGTAACTCGGGCAAGTTGCTTAACCTCTCTGGGCCTCACCTACAAAACAGTACCTTACCTATAAAATAGGCATAATAATAGTGCTCACCATGGTTTGTTGTGAGAAGTAAATGAGTTGTTACAGGCAAGGTGCTCAATACAGTGTCTAGCAGGCTAAGTGTTCAATAGATGTTATTATTATCCTGGGAGGAACACTCACTCTGCTAACCACAATTGGCTGATAACAAGGGTTTGACGCCTCCCAGCAACATTAGTGACTTAAAAGAGGAATCTCTAAGAAACTGGAAGGTCCAAAGGAACAAAGCAGTCAGGGGTGACTGCCCAGGGCTAGGGTTGACGTATCAGGGCAGGTCAGGCTAAGGAAGGAGAACTTCAAAAGCACACCTACTCCATCTCCCTGGCCTAGCTCCCCAGGGGCTGATAGGAGATAAACCAAACCACCCTCTTCAAAGCAGCTGCTCAAGGACCCGGATCAAATGCACAGGCTTGGAGATAAGCTTCAGTCCGCACTTCCTTTTGTCCCTTCCTCCCCACCACATCTCTAGAGGAAATTCTTAGGTGAGGAAAAGGAGTTCATTCTTCCTTCTTTTATCAAAAGGAGTCAGCTCTCTGTCCACACAACAACGGGTGGCAGAAGGCAATAGACCAAGAACGGGGGAAGGGACTGAGAAGGCCTCATTCTGTCCCCACTCTGCCAGTCTTCTGCTCTATGTGACTTTGGACTCTCCCTTACGCTCTCTGAGCCCATTTCCTCATCTGTCAAAAAAGGATAATAACACCTGTCCAAAGGAAAGAAAATTGCTGTGAGATGCTGGACCCAAAAATGCGTTTGGGGCCAGGCACAGTGGTTCAGGCCTGTAATCCCAGCACTTTGGGAGGCCAAGGCAGGAGGATCACCTAAGGTCAAGAGTTTGAGACCAGCCCAGCCAACGTGGGGAAACCCTGTTTCTACTAAAAATACAAAAATTAGCTGGGCATGAGGGTGGGCACCTGTAATCCCAGCTACTTGGGAGATTGAAACAGGAGGAGAACGGCTTGAACCCAGGAGGCGGAGGTTGCAGTGAGCCAAGATCATGCCACTGCCCTCCAGCCTGGGCAACAGAGAAAGACTGTCTCACAAAAAAAAAAAAAAAAAAAAAAAAGCGTTTGGGAAAAGATACTGTAACATGTTTATACATCAACATTTTGAAAAATACAATCATCCATCTTAAATCTTTTGGGAATACAGTGAGGTTTGATATAAATAAATAGCCCTACTTTTGTAAAATTCTTCATTCATCAGAAACATTCACTGGGTACTAACTGCACTGAGACTGCCTGGATTTGACACTCCAGGCTCACCTCCTACCAGCTTGGGCCTTGGGCAAGTTACTTAACCTTTCTGTGCCTGTGAAATGGCAGTAACCATAGGACCCATCTCCTAAGGTTTCTGCAAGGATTAAATGAGAGAATGCATGCAAAGTGCTTAGAACAGCGTTTGGCACTCAACGTTGGCTACTGTGGTGATGGTGAACCGCTCTGTTAGGCAATAAGTACACAAAGAGGATGAGGAAAACAAGAAGCATTCACAGTCCAGTGGGAGATCAGACAAAGAAGCAAATAGTGGCAGATGCCATGTGATAGGTGTAATAATAGAACATAATACCAACTGTGAGAATGTGGAAGAGGGAGCCTCTTGAGTCATCGGTGGGGCGGGTTTCCTGCAGGGCTGGCTGTCCTGGTCTTAGCCTGCTTGCTCCCACTGTTCCGTGGTGCCCCTCTCGTGCCCCAGGCTGTGTCTGAAGTCGGGGGATGGGGCAGACAGAGGAAGCGCCTTCAAGTGCCCTGAGTGCAGTGTGCTAAATCAGGGCTCCCGGCCAAAGCAGTAATTGCCAGCCGCTGAAAGATATGAAGCGCCAGGGAGGAAAACCAAGTTCTCTATGAGGCAGACTTTTCAGAGTTCTTACAGCTTGTAAAAAAAAAAAAATTTTTTTTAAATGTAAATAGTTACCCAGTGAGATATTATTTCGTGTTGTTGCCTTTAGGATTTGAGTGTTATGAAGAGAGAGGAGAGAGAGGCGATCATTCAGGCAATTCTGCCTCAGCAAGGACTGAAAACTACACATTAACCCCACACAACAAATCTACTCCCTCTAGGACTTAACCTGACTAGAGCATTTTTTTCCTGGGTGGTGAATTTTATGTAAATTGAAGGAGTGAAAAAAAATCTATACATATTCCCAGTTTCCTAAAGGATTTTCTTGATGGTTTCTAGGGAGGGGTGGGCTTTTTTAATTTTTTTTTTTTTTTTTTTAAGACACATTGTGGGCCGGGCACGGTGGCTCATGCCTGTAATGCCAGCACTTTGGGAGGCTGAGGCCAGCAGATCACTTGAGGTCAGGAGTTCGAGACCAGTCCGGCCAACAGCGTGAAATCCCATCTCTACTAAAAATACAAAAGTATTAGCCGGGCATGATGGTGCATGCTTGTGATCTCAGCTACTTGGGAGGCTGAGGCAGGAGAATTGCTTGAACCCAGGAGGCGGAGGTTGCAGTGAGCCGAGATCACGCCACTACACTCCAGCCTGGGCAACGGAGCAAGGCTCCGTCTCAAAAAAAAAAAAAAAAGAAAGAAAGAAAGAAAAAGACACATTAGACTGGAGGCTGGGGAGGGGTTACTTTCATTTCTGTAGAATTCAGAGACAATCTGTGCTTTTCTGCTTGGGTTCTCAGTGCTAAATCTGGTGCTGATGTGGCTGCTCCCCAGAGCAATTGCTCCTCAGACACAGATGATGCAATCAGTTGCAGCCATTATTTACCTTCAACTTCCTTTGTGCCAAGCATGAAACAGGTGACATGCGTTGTCTGCTTCTGGTCTCCCAATTCTGAGGTGGCCACGCTTCCATTTTACCCTGGAGGAAACCGAAGCTTAGGGAGGCTCACTGGCCCGGGGTCCCCACAGCAGCCTGGCTCTGGGTCTGACTCCCTTCAGCTTTAACTGGGAATGATAGCAACACCTGATGTTTATTAAGCGCCTGACATACGGAACTGTCATTCTTCACCACAGTGTCATGGGGGCACTCTCAGGCAGCCCTCTCCCCTGTCCCATTTTAATGGTGGCCGCTCATTCCTAGGGCCATTTGAGAAGGGCCTGGATAGAGGAAGGCCCCTGAGCCGTGCATCTGCCACTTTTTTGCTGGGGGAGAACCTGTGCCATATGTCCTGCACAGGGATGTCTTACTCGGGCTTTCCAACCACACGCCCCTCAATAAACACAGCCCATCTGAATACTGAGCCACATTCCCTCCCAGGTGACAAGCCATTCCTCTGAAAACTACACTTGCCTTCAGGCCCCAAGGGCCCCATTTAGTGCTCTGTATAGGTTAGCATTTCAGCTAAGTGAATGGTGAATCCCGATTGTAATAATCATCTAGTAGTGTTTTAATTAGGCCTCTGGCCTGGCTACGCATGGTTTTTCATTTTTCCTCCTACGAAGTTTGGATGAATCCAGCCAAAGAAACCCTGCTACCCTGACCAGCAGCTCAAAGTGTGTCCCTCCTGCCTCGCATGTTTTCGGAGGTGTGTCCTACCCACTTCCCAGGAGGTGGGAGCAGGCCAATGTTGTGTGCCCCTGTCAGTAATTACCACTGGGGGCTCAGGGAGTGAGGTGTTCTTAACAGGACAGTATAGATTTGCCTAGGCAAATTCCCCATCACAGCTGGCCAGCCTGTCCTTACCTCCTCTTCTCTCCCTTTCTTTCCTTCATTCACTACCTTTTTCCTTCTCTTTTACTCTCCAAATAGAGTGAATATTCTATTGTCCTCTCCCTTCTCCCCGCTCTCCTTTCAGCTGCCTCCTACTCCCTCTGTGTTTTTCAAATTCCCAAATACTTCTTCCCTCTCCCCTCCCCTTTTCCTCCTGATTTATTTCCCATTAATCATTTCTAACACACATCTGCTAAGGCCCTAGAAGGATCCCTTGGCTCCCTCTCACAGCTGGGCTGGTTACAATAATCAGGGGGTCTTTCATCTTTCACAGCCTCCTAGGTCTCCCCTCTACCAGCTCCTCCTCCTCTGCATTCCCGCAAAGACCAGCCTCTCTGCACCCTGGCTTCCTTCTGCCCTTCTGGCTCCGCACAACAGACTCCCCAAGGCCAAATGGCTTGTGGGTGAACGCAGCCCTGCAGTGGACTTTTACAGGTGGTGTTGGCAGTGATGGTAATGGCTGCGCACAGAAGTCGGCATGAGAATCCTGCCACGATCAAATAAATGAGATCACCCCCTCCCTTTTCATTCCCGCACCCCTCTTGCTGCAATGTGGGATCCATCTCCCAGTAAGAGTACCCCTCGCCATTCGGTGTAACATGATTTTACCAAGATTAAAATTGGGGAACATGTAATTACAGCTTGTGTAATTTCTAAGCATTCTATTTGTGCTGCCCAAAAAACAGTAGGGATCCAGGGAGCGTGCTTAGTTTCGGGTATGACTGATACTGCCTGGAAGTGGAGTCTGCTGTCTTCTCTATTGGGCAAGACACAGGATCGTGATAGCTATTTCCTTCTGTTTGAAGAGCTCCTTTGAAATCACCTCTCCCCATCTTGGGTTCTCAGGTCGTCTCAAGGCGTCGGTCAGCGCGGCAGAGTCGGGAATCTGCCATCCTAGAGCAATACGCCCTGAGTGACAGGCCTGACAACGGGAGTGATGAATTGGGACTGGAAAAGTGGTGCTGGGAGCCAGGCAGTGACACCAGCGCGCCTCCACTGGCCGCCGAGCGCATGGAGAAGTGGGCTCCCCAGAGGCCCGCGCCCAGAGGACCAACTTCGCCTCCGGAAAAGCGGCCGATCCGGAACTTGGATGTCAGGACTATGACTACGTAAAATCTCTGCCCAAGGCAAAGCTAGCAATGCACACTTTATCAGAAAGGCGCAGGGAGTCGGGAAGGGTATTGTTATTTTTAATTAAAAGTTTTTATCCCGAAATTTCCCGGGGGAAAGCTAGTGCTTTTTCCCCGGAGTGAGAAGGATTAGGGGGGGCGGAGGAGTTGTGCCGCCGAGCAGCGGTTAGAGAGAGATCCCCCCGTCCAGGGACACCCGCCTCGCCCGTGATCTCGGTCCCTCCTCGTAGCAGCTGGGCGCGGTACAGTGAGGAACTTTACGACCCTCAGCAGGACACGGTGAGAAGCCTGAAACACACCAGACACCGAGCCTCTAACGCAGGGTGCAGGCACAGCGCGCATAGCCTGGGGTCCCGCGCTTGGTCGCCGACCATGTCACTCCAGAAGGGAGACAAACTTGCAGGCTTCAGAGAGGACGGGCTGAAAGTAGTTGGAGCTGCCTACGCCGCGTCCCGAGAACAGTGGGTGCCTCCGAGGCTCGGGCGCTTCCAAGTGAACACACCAAGGGGAGGCCAAGTAGGGGAAGGAGAGCGGGGCCGAGGAGGGCCCGAGCAGCTCCGGAGAAGGACCCGGGCTCCCGAGGCGAGGCTCGCCCCCAGGCGGCCTCTGGGAGAGG